GCATGTGCCAAAAAGTAGGGCTTCAATTTTTTAACAGCCATGAAGAGTGCAAGACCAAATTTCTCCACTAAGGGATACCTCAACTCGGCATTTTTCAGTACATGACTGACAAAGTAGACCGGGAGCTGACAGCCGTCTCTTTCAGCAAGGAGAACAGCGCTTAACGCATGATCAGAGACGGCCAGGTACATGTAGAGTACTTCTTTGGGCAAAGGGCTGACCAGCCTCGGCAAGGAATGCAAGTGAACTTTCAATTTCTGGAAGGCCGCCTCAGCATCCGGCCCCCATTCAAACCTTGCCTTTTTCTTAATTGCCTGGAAAAAGTATAGGCATTTGTCGCCTGATCGGCTTAGAAATCTTCCAAAGGCCGCCAGACAACCTGTTAACTTCTGAACCTCTCGGATGGTACGAGGCGACTGCATGTCGATGACCGCCTGCACCTTCTCAGGGTTCGCCTCTATTCCTCTCTGATTGATAAGGAATCCGAGAAATTTCCCAGACTCAACTCCAAAGACACATTTCTTGGGATTGAGCATGACATGGTGCCGCCTGAGTGTGGCGAAAGTTTCTCGGAGGTCCGACAGATGATCTTTCTGAAGTTTAGACTTGACAATCATATCATCAATATATGCCTCGACATTTCTCCCAATCTGATCAAAGAACACAGTGTTTATCATTCGCTGGAAAGTGGATGGGGCATTCTTAAGACCAAACGGCATGACCGTGTAACAGTATAACCCCTGATCAGTGACGAAGGTCGTCTTCTCCTGATCTTTCTCCCATAAAGGAATTTGATGGAAACCAGAGTAGGCGTCCATAAAGCTCATCAAAGCAAGGCCGGCTGTTGAGTCGACCAGGTTATCAATTTTAGGCAGAGGGTAACTGTCTTTGGGGCACGCCTTGTTTAATTCTGTGTAGTCTACACACATTCGCCAGGTGCCATTCGGCTTTTTAACAAGCACCACATTTGCAACCCAGTCTGGGAAGTAACATTGCCGAATGAACCCTGCATCAAGTAATTTTTTAACTTCGGCGGCTGCCGCCTGACTTCTTTCTTCGCCATGGTTCCGCTTCTTCTGCCGTACCGGCTTCTTTTTCGGATCCACGGCCAGTTTATGTACCGCCAGATCAGGGCTAATGCCTGGCATTTCATGGACTTCGAATGCAAATATGTCCTTGTATTCTTTCAATAGTTTGTGAAAGTCGTCACCCAGGTCCCTTAGAGCAGTCGTCCCAACCTTGATTGTTCTGTCAGGACGCGAGTCATCTAAGATCAGGTCCGTATGCTCACCAGCTGGCTGAGGGCGGAATTCATCCGACCGCTCCTCTGCCAATGATTGCTATTTTCTGTCTTTTCTTGCGGCCCCTGTCTGGGATGCCTTTCTCTTCTTGCCGCCTGCTTCTTGAACAGGCGCACTCTCCTTGACATTGTCAATGTCTATTTTTCCACCGCTCGACCCAGTGGCCATAACAGTGGGCTTGATATCCGAGAGATAGCACTCACGGGCCATCCTCTGATCTCCCCTTAGGGACCCGACTGTTCCATTATCCCTCTCAAACTTGAGCAACATAAGAGATGGGATTATAACAGCCTTGGAATTATTCAAGGTTGGTCGTCCCAGAATCATGTTGTAGGCCGAGAGTTCTTCTACTACCAGGAACCGGACTACCATGTGTCGTCCTTCCCCTTTTTCGCTTAGGCGGATGGGTAAATCCACTCGTCCCACTAGGTGGACGACTCCTCCTCCAAACCCTACTAAAGGGTGGGATGCCGGATGTATGCAATCAGTCTGATATTTTAGTTTCGACAGACATTTGCTACTGATGAGATCTGAGGAGCTTCCGGTATCTATGAGGATTCGGCCAACTCTCTGGTTGGCCACTTTACATTCAATAACGATAGGGTCGTCATGCGGCCCTCTTACCCCTCCTAGATCTTCTTCAGTGATGACAATCTCAGGAAATGAATATTTGGAGGGCCGTTCTTGGTGAACGGAATTTACATCTAACCGTCTGATATTGTCTTTGTTGCCCCTAATAGTGGGGCCGCCTCTTGAGAAGCCGCCTGCAATGGTGTAGACGACTGCATCATCTGTATCGGAACTGTCGGCCTGTTGATTCTTTTTGGCCGACTGCTTTTTCGAGGAAGTGTTCCCCGTAGATTTCTTGACATAAGTGTCAAGATCACCTTGCTCAGCCAGGCGGTCCAGATACCGCATGAGACTGATGCATTCATTGGTGTGATGACCAACATCTTCATGATAATCACATAATTTTTCTTGGTTCCGGTTGTTTGCAGAACCCTTCATGGGGACCGGCTTCTCAATTGAGATCCGTCCCTTGATTTCCTTTAGGATAAATTGGCTATCCTTGTTAAACGCATACTTTGGGGAGTATGGTTTGAATTCTTTTTTCTTTTTCTGGGCCGGCTGTTTAGAGGAATCAGCCGCCCAGACCTCTTTTCTCTTCTCGTCTTTGTTTGACGACTGTTTCTGTCGTCCTTCTCTTTTGTCGGACCTTCTCCGGTCTGACTGTTTTACCGTACTACAAAGATCAGTTGCCTGTATATAAGCTTCCGCTTCAATCAAGGCCTCTTGAAGAGTCACCACCCCCTTTCGGACCAAATCAAATTTGAAGGTCGACCCGTCTTTGAGACCTCTGAAAAAGTCAGTATAGGCTACTTCATCCGGTAACCCTTGAATCTGTATTCTCATCAGGTTAAACCGCCTGATGTAAGAACGAAGCCCCTCCTTCTCGCCCTGCTGAATTGTTCCTAAATCAAGGGTCGTCTTCTTCGCAGGGATGTTCATGGCGAAGTTGGAGGTGAATAAGTAAGCAAGCGTCTTGAAGTTATTTTCACAACCAGTCGGCAGGTTGCCGAACCATTGTTGTGCGATTCCTTTGAGAGTCGCTGGGAAACACTTGCACCAAGTGGGATCATCCAACCCTTGAAGGTACATCAGGTTGGTGAAAGCCATCAGATGGTCTTCTGGGTTAGTAGTGCCGTCATAGGCGCCTACTAATACATTTTTCACTTTGACCGGCTGAGCGGCTTCAGTAATTTCCTTGGAGAAGGCCGACGGCTGTTCACCAAGTCTAAGCAACCGTAGCTGCCAGTCAATAGGTTGGACATTTTTTGCTGCATGTCCACCAAACGGAGGTGGCTGTAAAAAATACTGTTGTTGCGGTACAAACGGTAAGTTTGGTACCGCCTGGTCGCTATGAAAGCCGGACTGACGGGAGGTGCCGCCTGACTGACTCTAATGATACGACTGAGTATGCCTCATCGAGGTATTTTGCAGACTGTCTTGGAAGTCTGAAGTAGAGGCCGACTCTGACAATCGGTCACTCTTCTTCTGCTCTAGCAGTAGCCGAGCGTCTGTGTATGTTTTCCTCGACCCGTCCGCCTGAATTTGACGAACAGGTTTCCTATTTCCTGGAGTAGGAAAACGGTATTTTGTGAAATCAAGGGCAGGTGGCTCCCACTTCCTAGATTTAGGATGAGGGGTCGCCTCTCGCCCTTGAACTGGCTTCCTCTTCCGTGAAGTGGAGGGTTTCTTAGCCGACTGCTCCTTGTCCAGAGCAGGCGGCTTCTTGTTGATCAACTCTTGAATTTCTCCCTTGAAGTCCCTCATGAAGGTCATGAGTTCGTTCCTTGTGATGGGAGCAGACCCATTAGTCGGCTGCTGCCGAACAGGCGGTGCGCCTGCTGGCTCGCTTCCAGTTTGAAGATGTTCTCGTTCCCTCCTTTCGGTATGACGGGTACGTCGGGCCCTTAGGGTCCCGTCTGAAGCTGTGTGAGCTTCAACTTCAAATTCATTCTCAGTATCGTGGTCCGACTGAACTAGTGGGTCGTCCAGGGGACGTCTCTCTTCAGGAGCCGGTACAAACGTGGATGCCATCTCAGAAGTACTATCCCCACAGACGGCGCCAAGATGTTTCGGGGTTTTCTGATGTCCTGCGGGAGAGTTACAATTCTGAGACTGGAACCGGACGCCTGTACCTGCAAAACAAACGGATGCTCCGGATGATTGGAGATCCGCCTCTGACGGTCAAGTTAGTACTTGATTAAGGAGTAATTAATGCGGAAATTAAAGTGATTGGGTCTCTCTAGGTGAGAGAGTTTAATGTGTGTAATCTGCGTCATCTCCCTTAATGAGGATTAAGGGAGGTATTTATAACCTCGGGAAACGTGCCAATCTAGGTTTAGGTTAACCTTGGGCTGATTGGGCTTCCCACGGAAGTTGGGCCTAGGTCACCGGTTATCCCAGGTGTCATGGGAAGGACACGTGTCGTGTCGTAATTGGTCCATAGTGGACGGATCATTGCTTGACACGTGGCAGGCTCCTATTGGCCCATGTGACGGACACATGGCGGAACCTGATTGGTCCACTTGTCAGATGGTGATTGGTGGGGAAAAATCCCCTAATCAACGGGTATTTATTTTCCCGTGGCAAATGTATCACTTGAACCACGAGTAGTACATATCCCATGGAAAACTTTACATTTATGCCACGAGTATCTGTCTTTTCGTGGAAAAATCTACATTTGTGCCTTGAGTAGTTTTTTCCCGGGGAAAACTTTGCACTAGCGTCACATGTAAGAATTTTCCCACGACAAACATACACTTATGCCAAGGTTCTGACTACAACAAATAAATTTGTATCTAGCTTAAATCTGCTCATGCAATGGCATAAGAATCATAGCATACAATAACTTTGCTAAGAATATATAATTACATGAATATCAAATTAGAAACCATGAATTAACCATGTTACTTCGTTTTTTCTTTACATCTAAACTTCAACTACCATAAGCATTGATTAATACAAAGTAAAATATTAAAAAAAACACCGATAAATTGCAATAGTTTTACTCAGTCCCTATTTTAAAAATAAAATAATGTAAAATCTCATTATAAGAGGTGCAATAATTTTTTTTTTAAAATTTGCTTTACAGATAATCTATTTCTAATACACACTTACTTTTCTTAATATATAAATGCTAAATTTTTGTTTTTTTTTTGTTCGATTCAATGCCAATATGTGGTTTTATTTATTTGTCTTTTTTAAAAATATTTTAACTCCAATGGAATTGCACTAGTTATATAAAAATCGCAATTTCAATAATATAAAATTATATTTTTATTGACGGGAATATAAAATAACATTAAACTCATATGATTAGAGATAGGTTAATGTTTTTTTTTATCTAATTTTATTTTCCAAGTCTTTCCTCTATTTAAGAAATGACCATTAAAAAAAATAAAGAAAATTAAAAAAAAAAAACCCAAGTCTCCTGTCCCAGAAAAAAAAACCCCAAGTTTCCTGCTTGTGAATTCGTGATTATATTTTACGGAGTACAAAATAATAAGCAATCCTCAAATTCCCTCATTTCACCACGTACAACCGCTCACTCCACCGCACCGCCCACTCCACCACGCTGTCTACTCCACTGATGTCCCTTGTAACAAGGCCAACTCCACGTTACCTCATTTCAAAGCAATGAAGAATTAAAGTGAAATTTGATACTCTGAGTTTAAATAGGGAAATTAAGGTCTATATCAGGATGAACTTGGGGGAAATTGGGAAAAAGAGGTTCATAGCTTTGCCAGGCTGGCACATCAAGCAATCGACAACGCACGGCGCCACACGACCTGGCGACCCTGTCTCATTTTTTTAGTTTCACGCCTTTCACGGTAAGTTCTAGTTTTGTACTTTTCAAATTTTTTAATTTTTCAATGTTTCATTCATATCATTCTACTTTTTTCAAGTTTCAATTTTTAATTTGTATATCATGATCATCTACTCGTTGGATTAATGGATTATTTAACTAATTTATGGTTAAATCAGTTTTAGATTTTTCAAGTGATTAGTTGAATTAGTTGTTAGATTTATTGAAAATTTTTTGGGTTTCAATTATTTTGGTAACATTTTGCAACAATTTGGAGTATTATTTCTATTTGTTAGTCCAAATTTGATACAGAAATCATGAAACTCATTCGAAATGGAGGGGTATGTACTGTAGGGTCTGAGTTTGTTATAGCTATTGAAATTATGCATGATGTTTATTAGAAAATCAATGCATGTAAACTGTTAGTTTATTTAACAAGATACTGTATATAATTAGCCTATAATAAATTTGTATTATCGTTGTAGGTTGTATGAGTATTCTACTCAGTATACTGCTGGAAATGTCACCTATATATGCATTTAGGGACAAGTGAAGCTCTTTATTCCTTTAATATTATTCCATTTAATATATACCCTGACTTTTATATCATCAAACTATACTATGGAGATTTTTTTTTTTTTTTTTTTTTTTATTTTCTTTTGACAAGAGCTTATACTATGGAGATGTGGAGTACATTTTATCACTTTTATTGATCCATCTATTATTCTTTGGATTGTACCTTATGAAATTATCTCTCTCAATAGTCAACACTCATATATTCATGTCGCATCATAGACATATACCTTGGTAATAAAAACGGTAAAATCATCCCTAACTTTTGAGGATTGTTTAGGATTTGAACTTTGGAGTGCTTCATGAACCGATCTTTTGCATGGGTAAGGGAATTTAGTTTCAAATAAAGGGAAAACTAGGAATAAAACAGATAGAGGTAAAGTTCTTGATAAATTAGCTCTCTCCATTTTGTTAAAATTATTGGATTGTAGTATCTCATGGTTTTGGCTCATTTGTGATTAATTTAATGTATTATTAGATAAATCGTTTTTTATATTTATTACCTGTTATTGTAACATATTAACATTATTAGGGTAAAGTGGTAAAGCTAGTTGTACATATAATCTATCTAATAATAATTGAAATTAGTAAATTAACATTATTAGGGTAAAGTGGTATAGGAAGTTGTTACTTATTTTGATCCAAGCAAATATGGAAAAGGGCTGATCTCAAGAGCCAATGATGGAGGTAATAACTGTTTGAAATCATAATTTATGTATTTTTATCTAGTGATCAATGATATGAATTAATATCAATCATTTGAACTTGAGGATAGCTAGCCCCTTTTTTGCTGATAAAGAGAAGAAAACTTATAGTGCTGGCAGCTATCCTTTTTTGCAAGGCCAAAACAGTAGGTTAAAATTAGATGAGAGCAATGGCATGTATTGGATCATTTCAATTTATTTCATAAGTGTTAAATTTATTGTAAATATTTTAAACGATGCCATGAATTGTGTTTTTAGGATCAAAACTTGATTCAAGTAGCAACGGGCCGGGACTGCCATCAAATTATTATTATCCAATCCTTCAGAGCACCTTGGTGTTAAAATGGTGTTAATCCCAATTTCTTTCCTATCAATCAGGTAATGAACTATAGATGAGTAATGAAACTTTTCAAATTCTAGTTTAACCAATTTTTGTCATTAATTTTATTTATTTATTTATTTTCATTTTTTCTGTCCTCCCTGCTGGCTTCCATTGCCTTTCCCCCTCCCCTGTCTGTTTCCCTGTGATTAATGAAGTTTAGTTTCACTTGGAGTCTTGAACTTTAATCCTTTTTTTTTTCATTTTTTCTTTATTCCCTGCTGGCTGCCATTGCCTTTCCTCCTCCCCTTCCTATTGCGAGTTCGGCCTAGTGTTCCCCCCTCTCTCTTTCTCTTATTGGTTGTTGATGCCTTTCTCTCTTCGCTGCTTGCTACCCTACAGTCTTCTGCCTGCCAGCTGCTACTTGAGCTAGACTTATATTAGTGATTTTTTTTCCCTCTCCCTTCATTACTAAATCAATGATTGCTAATGCATACCATTTCCACAGCTAATGTAGCAAGGCCAGCCACTACAGCTATTGTTGCTAATGCATCCGATGCCGATGCTGCTTCTTTTATTGTTGCTGTAAATACTGCTGTCATTGTTCTAGGTCCTTTGCATAGTCTTTGTTTGTTGTTTTAAGAGCTACAATTGTTATCTGAATGGGCTAACACTTTTTATGTTTGATGTTTTAGGATGTCGGTGAAGAGTTAGAAGGGATCAATGATTATTTACGACATTAGTCAAGAGTTAGAAGGGATCCCCTATTTATGCTAGATTGATTTGACGCTCCGAATAGCAACAACAAATTGATGCGTTCTTGCCTTACCGATTTCAACTTAGCAGATAATTTTTGTTTTAAAGTAGAACAAAATTATACTTTGTATATTGTAATAATCTAGTTAATAGTGTATCATGATCACAAATGATGTACAAAATTTTTAACTTTTATGTATACGTATTAAGTGTCTACACTACTTTTGCTTATAAAAATGCAATTTTTTTCTGAACATTATTAGCAACAATAATAAGAAAACAAAGTTTGTTAAACATGGAAGAATTGTGGCAAATAAACTCATTAGTTACGTTAATACTTGTGGAAACAAAGTTTGTAGCCACGGTAAAGTTTGTGGCAAACAATTTGTTAGCCACGTTAAAATTCGTAGCATGAGAATTTTTTTGCCACGTGAATACTCGTGGCATAAATTTCAAAATTAGCCACGACATCCATTTTCCTGTGGCAAATTTCTAGCCACGCACTCTTGTTCCACGGGAGTAAATTTCAAAATTCCCGTGGCTAAATTGCGTATTCACGGGAATTATAAACTTGTGCCACGGTTTTACTCGTGGCACAAGGGTCAATTTGTTGTAGTGAAAAATTATCCCTAATCGAGGTCATTTAAACGATGGACAATTAATGACCAGTTGAAATTAGTGTGTAGTTTGATTCATAGCACCGTTTATTATGCTACAAGGACATGATCGTCATGAATCATTTGCACAGGTATTGGTTTAGAACCGTACTGGATCGACCTATGAGAATACTTTAATAGATTAAAAATCTTCATAAGTATAATTCTCATTATTGCTATCAGAACCTTTTTCCTTGACCATAAGTATTGTGAGTTCTCTTGTTTGAGTACTAGTCCGCTTTGATGTTGTCAAACGTCTGCCGTAATAGGGGATTATAACGGCAACACTTGGGCGGCTAGGGCCTCTTAGTAGGAGAAGCTACATTGCAAGACTGGAAATGCCCCCCTACTAAAATAGGGAAATGTCTTTGTTGTTTACAATGCCTCTCGTAGAGCGAGACTGTAAAAATGCATGACCGTGCTCGGTTGGATTTTAGAAATCATCTGTTTATTGTCAGTCGGATTCGGAATCGAGAAACACTTCTGGACGTAATAAGGATGACAAAACAATCGTACCTTATAGTTCATGAAGAGACATTAAGCGACATAGGAAAAAGGTTGTACATTAAATGCGCACTTGTCTGGAAGGACAAGTGGGAGATTGAAAGAAATGGTGTCCTTCGAACAAGTGTACTATTCCGTTGGTGGGTTCAGAATTATTAAAAAGCTAATATATTTAGTAAGGTCAAGTGATCGGAATGCCTGGGTGGAGGCCACTTCCGATCAGTAATATTAATGCATAATTAATATTACAGCTTAATCTTGACTGAACCCTTCGGGTCACACCCAAGCAACTAACGAACCAAATCGACGAATTAATTAGGAATTAATTAATAAGTCGAATGAGTAATTAATATTTAGACGTCGGAAATTCGAGCTTGAAGCGTCGAAAGGCGAGTCGAAAATAGTAAAAGACAATACGTGAAAAATAATAGTAAATAAACAATGACCGAAATACCCCTAGCATCGGTAAAATCGAGTGCCAGTAGGGGCGCGGCAAAAATCTAGCAACCCGCACCAAGTGTGCGTGGCAATGCTAGCATGTGGCAGCTAGCAGCCTGCACACTTGGTGCGTGGCTTGCTAGGCCGTGCAGCTAGTAGCCCACGCTTTTGGGCACAAGTGAGGTGGGCCGAAGCCTCACAACCATCTTATGGCTAGCCGTGGGTAAGCCGTGCGTGGGGCTTGCATTGAGTGTGTATGTGTGCGTAGCTTGGTACAAAATTAAGGGTAATATGCGTAGACATTGCTTGTGAAACAATGTGGTGCAATGAGATCGTGCGAGTTGTGAGCACTCAAAGTCTTAATGCTAGGCACTTGGATATTTTGGACTACGTAATGTTTGCAATTTAGCCGTTTTATGTTTTTTTAATTAATCTTGTTTATTTTAATTAAAATTTTGGAGGCTAGGCCTCGATTTTTTATGAGCGGCATTTGCAAAATTTTATTTAGGCAAATAATTGGGTTTTACCGGCTTAATTAATTGGATTAATTAAGATGGATGCAAAATTTAGTGGGAGCTTCAAATATTAATTGTGCTTATTTACATAATCGGTTAAAACATCTTTGACTAGTTTTAATTAGGCGTGTTAAATAGATTAACCAACTAGATTAGTTACTAGTTATCGCGCGTTTATGCATTGCTACTTGTTTATTGTTGTAAAATGCATGGGCCATTCACAAATAGTGAATGGATGAATGGAATGTATATTCTCTCACAGGTTTTATAAAAAAATGGCAACTAGTGGTGCCCGATTAGGATAGAAAATACGGACTGCGATCCGTGATGCATTTTTGTAAATCTAAATACGGTCTACGTACCGTTGAGTATTTTTGTACCTTAATATTTAGATTAGTCCTCATCGTAGATACTAGCGTTGCATAATTATGGTCAAGTCTTGAAGATGGAGGCTCTTGGAAGACAAAGCCATGAAGTTGCAAAAGAAAACCTTTTGAAGATTTGAAGAATTCAAGGGGTCATGCTAGTTGCCAGTATGCATCAAAATGCTTATGCTTTACATATTCATGATTATTTATATATGAATTATATGTTAGATGCATGTTTGGGATTTTGAATGTTGTGATGATTAATTAAGTTTACTTAACCCAACCAACATAGAAACCCTAGGTCCCTAAATATTGAGTAAAATTGCCATTCCTAAACAACACTTATTGACCAATTGAGAGTAGTGATAGATGGACTACGCCAAAGCGAGGCATCACTATTATTCCCTAGGATACGTAAGGTATATGGATGGGTTTGCCAAAGAAAGACATCACATACAAGTTGGTTTTGGTTGTACTCAACGATATTAGTGATGGAGTCCTAACATGTCGTGGCAAAGTGAATAATTGTTGAGAGAGCATTAAATGCGACGATTTATTCAACCAAGAGTGCCTTGGAGCCATTAGCAAAGCGTTGCTTGCCTTAGGAGATTGAGTGTTAACACAATCCAAAGCATGATTAACCACTCTTTGTTTCTTCGGATCTTGGAATCGACTTATTCTCGCCAAATGGGGACAAATTTAATGCGTGGATAAGACGTTTAATAAGATTGAAAATTTGCATGAATACCTTTTAATTTTCAAACTTATTATGTTATTTACTTGATAAATGGTTATACTTTGCACTTATATTTGTAGAATTCCAAATCAAACTATATTGTTTTATGATTGGTAAAGGAAATCTTTGAGAATGGTTCTCAAAGAAAATTAAATCATTTCTAAAATACCATTCTCATAAATGACTTTTATAACAAAATCCGAAAGGACAGTTGGACATCATGTATTCAAAATACTAAGTAGTTTTGATAAAACATGAAGTATTGAGTTGCAACCTCAAATTGTCAATATTGACAACCAACATATCTTTTCGGTTAATACATAGATGAGTAGGACTCATTGATATAGTAATTCAAGCGTGAATTAAAGAAAAATATGGAACTTTGTTTTACGGCGCATTAGATGCTTAATTATGCCTAACAAAGTATAAAAGTCAAAGACTCTTAAAGAAATGGATCTTAAATATTATGAGATAAAGTATGATAAGAAATATAGGAAACGAAGAACAAAGAAAATGAATAATATTCCATTTTACTAAAGAATTCATGTTATTGTAGTTCACTTAGCAACTCATTATCTTCACAAAGTATCAGATACTTCTTGAATATTCCACTTTGAAAGTGACCTCAAACTATTGAAGATAAGCTAATTTATCGACTTACAAACTTAGAATGAAGCAAGTGGTGCTACATCAGTTGTAAGGTCATATGCTTTGTTTAAAGACCATTAAGCTAAGGCTGGAACAAATAAATGGTTATTGTGTTCCATAATCAGCAATTGATCCGTTTACACACAGAAAGACTCACATTCAAAACAATGAGCAATAGTTGCAAATTTATTTGAACGACATGGTTGTCTAAACCATGCTTCAAGAATGCTTGATTATAAAGAAACAGTTTCTTAACATGATAAAATGGCAAAAGCTCAAAGTCATGGGCATGATTTGGGTTTCGAACATCTTTAGCAATAAGACATCGACAAGAATGTACTCAAGGCTATATTAGATAGTGTAGACACATAAAAATGTCTCCCCAAAACCAAACTCGATGATGAACAACCTTTCACCGCCATTATTGGTCGGGTTGAGTATTTAATATTTGGAGTGCTTAAATCTATATTTCAATTTCATAAAAACAAACCAATTCCTAGCCCATTTCCCCAAACCATAACTTATTTTCCTCTTTTCGTGCCTTTAAACCCAAAATAATTCATTTCGTGTCCTTCAAAATAATTCATTTCGTGTTCTTTTTATAAAAACGTTTATTTAAGTTTATTTTAGTGCCTAATATGGTTCCTATTATTGAATAGTTGGATGGGGTTTGAAAATATCTTTCCAACGATATATTATAAGCCCAAATTCGAGTTATAACGAATAAGTTATGGCCAAAATATTAAACTAGCCCAAACCGAACCTAAGCCCACCTTACCTACGACCCAATGATCATGTCGAGGGTCCAAATTATTTAATCCCATTCCTAAACCAATTAGGATTAATTAGAAGCTTCTATAAGTTTCTAAAAGATGCTAATTATCCTTTTTGAAAAGATAAAATGAAAGAGTTTGAAATTAAATAAAACTTTTTATTTTGAAAGTCCTATTTCTATCCGAATTGAAAGACATTCAAAGATAGACCTTTTCATTCGTGCCTCATATTTTTTATCTGAATTTTATATGGTTGGATAGCCCTTGAAATCATCTTTCCAATGATATATTATAATATCAATTCCGAGATTTAACAGAAAAGATATGAATAAAATGTCAAACTCTATCCAAAACTGACACCGTATCACTATTTCGGCTATATCTTTTATTCTACAAAATATTTTAATCTTATTCTAATTGGTTTAGAAAGTATACTTCAAGAAATTTCCAACTATATCTTATTCATCTTATTTCGATTTCTGGATCAAAAGATATGATAAAAACAAAAACCGCAATAACTGTTGTCTATCGCAAGCGTTTTATCCGATTCGAATTCTTATCTTTTCTTAATTCTTCAACCCTCTTTTTTCTCTATAAATAGAGGTCATATCACCCC